ATTGTCTCTCTAATCTCTCTGAGCATTTCAGAACAAAAGTTCTAAAAGAGGTATGAACTAACCCATCTCAATGGGTGTTCTTCTCCTCCTTCTCCCAAAGTCTGCCGCAACCTCTGGTGCAGAATACCTCAAGACAATCTCCCTCTGCAGATAGACTTTAGAGCAATTTGAATATTGAAATCAGTTTCTTATTGGGGACAGAGGGAGCCTGTATCTGAGGAACCTCTTGTCCCAATGTTCCTGTATTTGTGGCACAGCATAGACCTCTGCTCCTTTTGTGGCATAGCAGTAGTCAAGATAGTTTCACTATGCATCATAGATGTTAGAGCATTTTGAAAACTAAATGAAATACTATGTAGAGGATGTGTGTTGGACAGCCCTTGATAGCTCAGTGGTTTGAGCATTGGCCTGTTAAACCCAGGGTTGTGAGTTCAATCTTTGAGTGGGTCACTTCAGGGATCTAGGGCAAAATTAGTACTTGGTCCTGCTAGTGAAGGCAGGGGGCTGGACTCAATGACCTTTCTGGGTCCCTACCAGCTTTATGAGCTAGGTATATCTCCTTATATTAAATGACTTCAAATTTGCACCACAAACTCTACCCCAGCACCTGTTGTACACCTGTGATCACCTCTCCATCAGTCAGATGCCAGGTCCCACTCCTTCTGGCCCCTCCATGCCCCGGATAATCTTGAAGGGGGGTATGGTGAGGAGTGCATGAACCAGTTGGAGAAAGGAAGGGGCAGGAGAGTGGAGATGCAGAGTCCCCCTTCCAGATCTGGACCTAGTGGATGAGAAATTGACTTTGCAGCACAGGAGGCTCAGAGAGGCTTGATGTGGCCCATTCATCTCAATGAGAAGTTCTCAGATGAAGGAGAACAAACACCTGCTGGTGATGAATGAAGCCTGAAACAGTAGCTCTGAGATGTGTGAACTGCTGTTTATCTCAGTGAGAGTTCTCATCCCCCTCCCATTGACTTTAGTGCCTATCCTATACACCAAGCATGTCTGTTTGCAGTTCACACCCCTCTTTCAGTGCTCTGTGCCTGATGGAGACACCAAACATGCCTGTTCCCAGGGTCCGACACAGATCTGGTCTGTCATGCCTGGTGCTGCCCAGCAGGAGTTCAGCAAGCCTCTCTGAGCACAGAAGTGATTTAGCCTGGCTGTGACTCTTGCACTAGCTTCTCTGGTGCTATTTTCAGTTTGCCAGTGGGAGCCTGGCCCCACACCAGCAAACTGGGCTTCAAATCCTGGCACCAGGACTGCCCATCAAACTGTCCAAGGGAGGGACTCTGGCAGATGGGTAGATGGCATTGGGGTGTTGAACTTCCTTAAAAGTGCACATGCCACACACGCTTCCAACAGGAGCCCTATTGTGGCCCCATAGACAAAGCAAAGGCAGGCTCATCTCCTAAAGAAACAATTCAATCTCCTGGTCCTTGGGTTCAAAGAGCAATGCTTGGCCCCTGAGCCACCACACAAACACCCCTCTCTCTGGGTATAGCTATTCTGGCAGGGAAGGTGTTATTGCCGCATGAATGGGCATACAAGCACTAGTTAGCAGAGGTAACAATAACAGGGTTGATGTGGCAGCACAAGCTAGTCATGTGAGTATGTACTTGGTTGGTAACTCCTGCTGCTACATCTACACTAGTATTGTTATCTGAGCTAGGTAGGTTAAAGCTAGCATGGATATGCCTACCTACCTGCACTACAATCACACCTTCACCTTCAGTGTAGATTTAACCTGTTTGTGTCTCCCAGTAATTGTCTGTGTGGGTAATTTTTCCATTATATTTATAACTATAGTGGTATAATTTTGTTGGTAAAATTCCCCCTATAGATAAGCCCTCACAAAGGAGTTTCAGAGGAAACAATAGCTTGTAAAAATGTGAACTCTGTAAGCAGAGGTGCTAAAACTTTTATACAGTACTGCAATAATTTTAAAAGTATGTCCTGGGCATTGGTAACATTCAGTAGCTGAGCAAAGGGGCAGTCCAATGATGTACGTTTATGAGGGTCAGTGTAGAGATATATTTGCAGAAGATTATAATTTAGAGATGCTCCCTCAAAAGGGACAGATTATGAACATAGGAATTTGAAGATGTGCCCTGGAGACTGGGGTTGAGAACACCACATGGCTGTGTGCAGCAGTTCACCAGAGAGGTTCTCCAGTTTGTTGTATTAAAGTTGTATTCCTTTCTCATTCACTGCTTTGTTATTTAATGAACCCCAGCATCATTACATGGTGTCAGAAGTGCTGAATGAGAAGGAAACTTTTGAAATTAACTCCTGTATTTTTAACTGAAAGCAGAGACAAAGGGAGGCACCGGAGAAGCACATGGAGCACCAGGCACAAAGGCTTTTGAATGTATTTGGTGAGCACAATAGTAGCTTGACTAGCTTAAGGGGGGAAAAGCAAAATGGATGTGTTGCAACCTCCATCCAGTCTGCAATTGTCAGGCAATGTTGCAGGAAACTGGAAAAAGTCAGACTGAGTTTTGAATTGTATTTAGCAGCCATAGGGGAAGATGAGAAAAATGATAAAGTGAAATCATCAATCTTTTTGTATTGGGGAGGAAACATTGGATCATATTTATAAAAACTTAAGTTTGAAGAAGGTGAAAGTGTGAAGTTAAGTAAAATACTGACTAAATTTGAGGAACATTGCCTGCCAAAAAGGAACGAAACCTTTGAGACACACACATTTTTTATCTGCATGCAAAAAACTGATGACACCGTAGAGCAAGAATTAAGGAAACTCAGTAAAACCTGTGACTTTGGTGAACTGACAGAGTCTCTGGTCAGAGATAGACTCATTTGCGGCATTAAAGACAATGTGTTAAGAGAGAGACTGCTCCATGTAGGAGACTTAACTTTAGAAAAAGTTCATCAAATATGCAGGGCAGCAGAAACTGTGAAAGCACAAGCTAATGAGCTGAATTCACTGGAAGACGTTATCTAAGTAATTAAGAATATAGCCAGAATAGGTCAAATCAAAGAGTGGAACCACTTGTTATGAAAACCACTGCTAGGGGAAGACTGGGACAGATAATCATGTGGAAGTTGTGGATCATAGCATGGTCCCAAACAGTGTGTTGCCTTTGGGAAACTCTGCCATAAATGTGGGGAAAACAATCATTTTCCAAAATGCTGTAGATGCCAAATGCAGAAAAGTCAAGTGTATTCAGTTAAAGACAATCTGGTTGTGGTGTTTTTCATAGACATCCTGGGGTCTAGCAAGCCTGATGGGAGGGACTGGATACTGCCTATGGCTGTGAATGGAACAATTATTCTACTGCAATTGGACACAGGAGCTCAGGTTAATATTCTGTCTGAACAAGATTATGAAAGACTGGAAATAAGACCAAAACGGGGACTAACAAAAATAAAAGTAACTGGATATTCTGTAAGAATTGTACCGGTGAAGGGGGAGGTGCATTGCTCGCATCAACCATAAAAACACCATGTACAGGCTCCCGTTCATTGTAGAGCCAAAAGAGGTTACACCAATTTTAGGGCTGGCTGCATGTGAGAAACTCAATCTGGTAAAATGGGTGCTCTCACTACAAGATCATATTGAACCTGCTATGAAGTACTCATTCAAGAATATCATGATCTGTTTCAAGGATTGGGCTGCTTGCAGGGAGAACATACAATCCAGATAAACAAGCAGGTCTGTCCAGTTATCCATCCATGTAGAAAGGTGCCATTTGCACTCCGTGATAAACTCAAGACTGAGCTTGCAAGGATGGAAGCAAAGCAAGTAATAAAAAAAATGAGGAGCCAATGGAATGGGTGAGCTCCCTAGGCATTGTGGAGAAAAGTAAGGGCCAGCTATGCATATGCTTAGATCCGAGAGACTCAACCAGGCTATACAAAGAGAACACTTCAAACTACCAACCAGAGAAGAGATTCTGGCTCAAATGCTCAATATTTCACTAAATTGGATGCATCCTCAGGTTTTTGGCAGCTAAAATTAACTGAAGAAAGTTCAAAACTATGCACATTTAATACCCTATTTGGGAGATACAGATTCTTACACTTACCCTTCGGCGTAGCTTCAGCACTAGAAGTGTACCATAAAACCATACATATGATCTATGATCATACTAATGGTGTTGCCACCTTAATATAATATAATATAATCATCTGAGGCTCAACAAAAGAGGAACATGATTATAGACTTTGGGAAGTCTTGGATGCAAACTTGAATAGGGTTGCCAATTTTGTATTCCTAGAGGTTTCATCACATGACATAATCTGTAATTAAAGATTAATCTTTAATTCCTGGAGACTCCAGGACAATCCTGGAGGGTTGACAACCCTAAACTTGAAACTAAATTGGGAGAAATGTGTTTTAGGGGTTACAGAACTGACCTTTGGGGGGGGACATTCTTTCCAACGAAGGTTGGAAATTTCCAAGGAAGATTTCAGCCATTGAAATGACGCCACATCCCAAGTCAAAGAAAGATGTCCAATGGTTCCTGGGAATGGTTAATTATCTTGGAAACTGAACCAAGATCCAGTGTTGAAGTTCTATGCACCAGGAAGGCCTATTAAAAATCTCCGAAGATGCTTCACAGTCTGGGTTAGGTGCAGTGATTTTACAGAAGCATGAAGATTGTTGGCATATGCATTCAAATCACTGACTCAGGCTGAAACCAGATACTCATGGATTGAAAAGGAGCTTTTAGGAATATTGTTTGCCTGTGAGAGTTTTAATCAGTATATTTATGGAGAGACAGTGGAAGTTGAAATGGATGCAAGCCCCTGATAGTGTTATTTAGCAAACTGCTAGGATTCAAGGATTCCTGCCAGGACTTAAGGATTCAAAGAATGATGATAAAGCTGCGAAAGTATGATTTGGTTGTGACCTACACACCCAGTAAATTCATGTTCACTGCAGATGCACTTTCCAGAGCAGTTGATCCCATGGAACCAGAAACGACTTTAAAGACAGAGATGCAAGCCTTTGTAGACCTGATTGTAAAGTCAATTTCCATAGTTAACAGGAAACTGCAACAAATAAGAGAGGAAATGGAGAAAGATGAATCATTGGGAATCCTTAAAGAAGTGATAGTTAAAGGGTGGCCTGGAGAAATAAGCAGTTGCTGTCCAAATATAAGAGATGATTGGAACTGCAGACATGAACTTACTGTGATAGATGGGGTCATTTTCAAGGGCAGTAAGGTTGTATTTCCAATGAGCCTCTGAAAAGAAATGCTACAGAAGATCAACGAGGGTCATTTAGGAATTGAGAAGTGCAAACAACAAGCAAAAGAGGTGCTGTATTGGTCATGGATCAATCACAACATTACTAATGTGGTAGGAAACTGCTTTTCATGCTCGAAATACAAGCCATGCCAACAGGCAGAGCCGCTGAGACTTCACCCAGTTCCACAAAGGCCTTATGAGAAGGTCGGCACTGGAGATATCCCATCTCCTAGAACTGGAAGGGACCTTGAAAGGTCATCGAGTCCAGCCCCCTGCCTTCACTAGCAGGACCAAGTACTGATTTTGCCCCAGATCCCCAAGTGGCCCCCTCAAGGATTGAACTCACAACCCTGGGTTTAGCAGGCCAATGCTCAAACCACTGAGCTATCCCTCCCCCACTGAGCTATCCCTCCCCCAATGTTTACCTGGCAATCAAAGGATTATTTAATAGTCACAGATTATTATTCTCTGTATCCAGAAATCTGCACACTGCACAGTACCAAAGTAAGTCAGTGATAGCTGGCACAAAGGGAATTTTCTCCAGATGTGGAATTCCAGATGAAATCTTTAGTGATAATGGGCTGCAATTTTCCAGTGCAGATTTTAGGTGATTTGCCATAGATTGGGGTTTTTGTCACAAAACATCAAATCCAAATTACCCCCAATCAAATGGACTTGTGGAAAGGTCTATATGGACAGTCTTCTTCTTAGTGTATGTGCAGTGTGTCTCAAGTGGCATGTGATCAAGATTCATTATTGAATTTGGTCCACTGGTTGGTTCATTAGCTTCCCTGGCTCGGGCCGGGTACTGACAGGGAACATGACATGAACGCTGATCCATGCCCCCCTATACGGAGAGTAAAAAACTTTACGAAAAAGATTTTTGACAGTGGGGGTGATTTGTATAACGCTTTATTGGTTTACCGAAGTGCACCTCTGGAGAATGGCTTTTCTCCAGCTGAGCTGTTAATGGGAAGAAGGATCAAATTGGGGATTGGTCCTGCTTTGAGCAGGGGGTTGGACTAGATACCTCCTGAGGTCCCTTCCAACCCTGATATTCTATGATTCTATGAACTCTAATTTACCAATTAGTGATAACTTGCTGAAATCTCATAATAATGAAACCATAAGGAAGATGAAAGAAAATCAGAAGTGGAAGCAGAAATATTGTTTTGACAAAAGGGCCCATGATCTCCCATCTGTAGCTCAGGTGATGAAGTGTGCCTCATTTCACAGGAGTCTGCCTCGGAGATCTCCAGGAAACTCTCGTGGAGATACTGGGCAATCCACTGCCACAGGTTCTTTGGCAGAGCTGCTTTGTTTCTTGCCTCATTAACGGTAACTTTCCCGTGCCACTCTGCTGTTACTGGGGTGGGGGGTGGAGTGGGGAAAATTGCTGCACACAGGAGCCACCAGGGCCAGCTTTAGGAAGTGCGGGGCCCGATTCGCCAGGGCCCCGGCAGGGATGACTCACCCGGCGGTGCTCCGGGTCTTCCACGGCACTGAAGGACCCGCCGCTGAAGACCCAGTAGGGAACCGCCCCGTGAGTACATCCCCGCCCCATCCGACCCCCACCCATGTCCTGCCCCTGACTGCCCCCCTCAGAAACTGCAACCCATCAATCCCCCCCTCCTTGTCCCCTGACCACTCCTTCCCAAGACCCCCCACCCTAACTGCCCCCCAGGACCCCACCCTCTACCCAACTCGCCCCGCTCCCTGTCCCCTGACTGCCTCGACCCCATCCACCACCACCCTGACAGACCCCCAGAACTCCCACGCCTACCTAACCCTCCCCTTCCCCATCTCCTGACCATCCCCCCAGAACCTCTGCCCGATCCAACTCCCACCACTCGGCCCTGGTCTCTTACCATGCCGCTTACCCACACCAGAGCTGGACCGGGGCCCGGGCCGGAGCTGCACTGCCCGGCCAGGGCCAGAGCCGTGCCAGCTGGAGCCGCGCTGCCCGGCCAGAGCCGGGGCCTGGGTGCTCGGCCGGGGCAGGAGGGAGCCGCTCGGCCGAAGCTGGACTGGGCCACGCCACGCCTCCCTGGAGCCCTCCTCGCACCTCCCCGCCCCAGCTTACCTGCCGCTGCTTGTTTCCAGGCTTCCCGCACGAACAACTGATTCGCGGGAAGCAGGGGAGGGGGAGGAGAAGGGGGCGGAGCATTCAGGAGAGGAGGGGGAGGTGAGCTGGGGCCAGGGGTGGGGCGGACAGCTGCCGGAGCTTGGGAACCAGCTCCAGCTCACCACTGGGCGCGGGGCCCGATTCAGGGGAATCGGGGGAATCAGCCTAAAGCCGGCCCTAGGAGCCACATAAAGGCCAGGGCAGAAGCCGCAGTCTTGGAGAAGACCCTCCCTTGATTTCCTGCTCATCCTCAGCAGCGAGATATCTTTCATAATGAACACAGCCTGTGGAAAATGTGGGGACAGGAATGATTATCAGGCCCCCCATACAGTGCTGGCTCTGCCCAAGAGCCACGTGCCCAGTGTACAGTAGGGTCCAGGAACACTAACTTACCTTGCCCCTGAGGCGACTCTCCATTTTGGGGGTCTTGTGGCTCATGTGTGTGTGCCTGGGGTCAGCCACTTAGTGACAGGTATGTGAGTACTGGCTGTGTTTTAAATCACTGAATCAGTGTTGCAAACAATACTGCTTCTGTAAAATGTTGCTTTTTGGCTTCACAGAAATGATCTTGGGACCCTAACCTCCCTCTTTGTTATCGCTGGCTGAACAGCTGTGCAGAATTAGAAAGCGGCCATGAAGAACCAAGGAGGACTTTCTGCGTGAGGTTATGATGCACTCCATGGCCAAAAAACAGGAATTGAAAGAGTGGCGGGACAGCAAGAAGAGGGATCAAAAGGAGAACATGGCACGCCAGAATGAAGCCATGGAGCTGCTCTTAAACGTTATGGAGCACCAAGCAGACATGCTCCAGGCAATACTAGCACTGCAAACCAAGCAGCTCCAGACATGCCCTCCCCTACAGCCGTTGTCACAAAACTCTTTCCCATGCACCCTCCACACACCGCCAACACACTGTTATCAATCTCCTGGCTTCAGTCTGTACCCGCGGCATTCCACTCCTCCCGTCACAGTCCAGCACTGTGGACTCCCAGTACCCACTGCACTCAACACCCATCCCTCTGCAATTTAGCCCTGTTGAAGTACAGTACCCATTGCACTGTACTCCAAAGGAGAAGGTTGGATATGATCCCTGGACATACACAAATCTTTAAGCGTCCCAGGACCCCACCTCCTCCTGGGACTTTCCCTTCCCCCTCCCCCTCAGTGCTGATGTGTTTCTTTGTTTGTCTTTCACTCTGGTATTTGTTTTTTAATAAAAGAATTGTGTTGATTTGAAAGCAATCTTTATTATATTAATTGAAAACAAACGGAGCCCTGCAAAGCAACAGACAATTATCTTAAACCTTCATATTTATCAGCTGCACCAATCACAATCACCTCCTAGCATTACAAGCACTGCACTCCCTAGCACAGCAACAAATATTAGTGGCTTTCAGCTTCAAATTGCTTCCTCAAGGCATCCCTGATCCTTATGGCCCCACGCTGTGCCCCTCTAATAGCCCTGGTCTCTGGCTGTTCAAATTCAGCCTCCAGGCGCTGAGCCTCAGCGGTCCAACCCTGAGTGAAGCTTTCACCCTTCTCTTCACAAATATTATGGAGCGTACAGCATGCGGCTATAAGCATAGGAATATTGTCATCAGCCAGGTCCAGCTGGCCATATAGGCAGCGCCAGCGGGCCTTTAAATGGCCAAAGCACACTCAACAGTCATCCTGCACTTGCTCAGCCTGTTGTTGAACCACTCCTTGCTGCTGTCAAGGTGCCCCGTTGATGGCTTCATAAGCCACGGCATTAAGGGGTAGGCGGGGTCTCCCAGGATCACAATGGGCATTTCGACTTCCCCTTCTTCTGGTCCAGGAAGAACATCCCTGCTTGCAGCTTCCTGAACAGGCCAGTGTTCTGAAAGATGCGAGCATCATGCACCTTTCCGGACCAGCCTGCATTAAAGTCCGTGAAATGCCCATGGTGATCCACAAGTGCCTGGAGAACCATTGAGAAATATCCCTTCCAATTAATGTACTCGGTGGCTAGATGGTCTGGTGCCAGAATTGGAATATGCATCCCATCTATTGCCCCTCCAGAGTTAGGGAAGCCTATTTGTGCAAAGCCATCCACATCCTGCACACTTCTGTCAATACGAGTCCAACGGTCGACTTTCCCACTCTGAACTGGTTAGCAACTCATCAGTAGCAGTTTGGAGTAGCAGCTTCCACAGTGCAATTGCCATGCACTTCTCCAACGGCAGGGCTACTCTCATTCTTGTGTCCTTGCACCGCAGGGCTGGAGCAAGCTCATCACACAGTCCCATGAATGTGGCTTTCCTCATCGGAAAGTTCTGCAGCCACTTCTCGTCATCCCAGACGTGTACGACGATGTGATCCCACTACTCAGTGCTTGTTTCCCGAGCCCAAAAGCAGCGTTCTACTGTGGTCAGCACCTCCGTGAATGCCAGAAGTAATCTCGTGTCGTAGCTTGTATGCATGACAAGATCAGTGTCTCACTCCTCTTGCCTTTGTAGTTTAAGGAATAACTCCACTGCCACTCGTGACGTGTTAGTCAGAGCGAGCAGCATACTGGTCAACAGTTCGGAATCCATTCCTGCAGACCAAAGAGGCAGGGCATGCAGTACACAAACCATTGAAAGATGGCGCCAAATGTGGATGGAAGCACAGGGATTGCTGGGATGCAAAGCAATGCATCATGGGGCATTGGGATAGGACCCAGGATGCCCCGCAACCCCCTCCACCTTCCCACAACTCTTAGTGGCAGAAGAGGAAGAGATGCTCTGTGGGATAGCTACCCAGAGTGCACCGCTCCGAATACAGCTGCAAGTGCTGCAAGTGTGAACATGCTATTGCGCAGGCAGCTGACAGTGTGAACACACAACAGCGGTTTCCCTTCAGTGCTCTCTGAGCGGTGCTGTAACTCTGCCAGAGATAGAGAGCAGGACTACACACTGAGTGCAGCACTTGCAGTCAATACGTATGGCTCATATTCAATGACTCCAGCATGTTGCCCTGAGTTATAGAGCAGCAACAGGCCTACAGAGTATACACAGATCACTCCCACCGAAGTTTGAACCACCTCACAGATCTATTTTATACCTAAATAGCTCTTGAACTATTGTTTCCTCTAAAGGGCAGTGGGTGCGGGTCATTTTTGAGTTGAAACCTAAGCAGATGAAATCAGCTTGGGATGGATCAATATAATGGTTCAAGTTTCAGGTGCTTGCAAAAAACTTTATAATAATCATACAATTCTGATGTCATGTGACTTTTTTTAGTGGCCCTGTATCTTGAGAACCCCTTGCTAAAGCAACCCCAGATCTGAATGACTAAGCCTACCCTGTGTCCCAATGAGGCTCAGCAAATTTCAAGGCAATCTCAGTATGCAGGTGGATTTTAGAGACTTTGAAAAATCAGATTTAAAACATTAAGGTAGTTTCAACCTTATCTATAGTGGTGCTACTGCCCCACTATAATATAGCAATGAACTAGCTAGCATGCGTCTGTGCATGTATATGTATGCACATGTGTGTTTGTGTGTGCATGTATGTACACCATTTACCTTTACTGTATGGAATCAGATCTACTCATCTAGGAGTCATGGGCTCTGCACTGCTAACTGTCGATGGAGCAGGAGTATCTGTGTGGCTGTTTATGTGTTACTGATGATCTAGGTCAGGGGTCGGCAACCTACGGCACGCGTGCCAAAGGTAGCACGCGAGCCGATTTCTGATGGCACGCGGGGTGGGCTGAACCACTCAGCCCTCCGCTGCTCTGGGGTTCCCGCTGCTGGCCCCTTGCCAGCCGGAGTCCTGCCGCCAGTCCCACTCAGCACCCGCTGCTGCTCTGGGGGAAGGAACCCCAGGCTGGCAGCGGTCTGAGACCCCAGCTGGCAGGAGCCGGCGGCTGAAACCCCAGAGGGGGGCTGTCGGAGATGCTCAGCCCACCCCTGAAATCCGAGAGCTGGGCGGGCTGACCCGTTCAGCCTGCTGCCGCTATGGGGTTCCGGCTGCTGGTCCCTTGCCAGATGGGGTCTCCACCGCAGCCCACTCACCTTGCTTCTGGTTGGAGTTCCAGCACAGGCCCCCTGCCAGACAGGGTCCAGGCCTCCGGCCCTGCTTAGCCCTACCAGCCGCCAGCTCCACTCACCTCAGCTGCCGATCTGGGGTTTTAGTCACTGACCTCCTGCCAGCCGGTTAACAACTGATCACTCAGAAGCCTGTGTGCAGCTTAAAGTATCTAAATACGTGCCACCAGACATTGGAAAACTCAGCAAGGAAAAGCAAGGGCAAGGATCACACTAAACTAATAAGATCAGCATTTTACTTTAATTTTAAATAAAGGTTCTGAAACATTTTGAAAACGTTGTTTACTTTACATATAACAGTAGTTTGGTTATATATTATAGACTTATAGAGACCTTCTAAAAAACGTTAGAATGTATGACCGACACGTGAAGCCTTAAATTAGAGTGTATACATGAAGACTCGGCACCCCACTGCTGAAAGGCTGCCAACCCCTGATCTAGGTGTATGTCAGTCACTCTTTGTATATCTGTGGCTCCTTTCCCTTATACAGCTGCTAGATGTGTCTGGTGACAAACCCCTTTCTCCTTCACTTCATATGCAGAAGCCCTTGCTCCATGGCTCACATGGGGGCAGATTGTAGCTCTCCCTCTGCTGGAATGGTGGAATTCTCAGCAATGAGTTTTCTTCCTTATTTGTTTATACCAGGCAGAATATTTGTTTCAAGGGAGTTTACACTGCAAGCCTTTCCCTGCACTGCTTTTATTGAAAGCTTTTATACCTGATATCTCACTAGGGTAGCATATCAAGTTTAATTAAATGTTCATTGTTAGCTATTAGAATCTCTATGTTGTCCTTTGAAAGGAGCTGTAATGAAAATCTGATACATGCTGCATGTTGTGTGTATAACACTTTCCAAGCTGATTGTCAATAAACTAATCAGGAGAAAAGAATGGAATGGAATTCAGGCTTATTTTTTGATTTTGGACAATCACAATGATTTAAAAACAACATTTCAATTGAATGTAGAGTGGTTCAGTGCAGGTTATGAGGCTATAAAAACAGCTGGGAGAAAACGCAGGCAAAGTTTCTTGAGTTTGGCTTTAAGTCAATATGTCAACAAGCCAAGCTTTGGAAGTAAAAATAAGTCTGAAGCAAGCGCTAATGTAACTTTGTGTCTCACCTTAGCACAGGCCAATGGGGTACCGGTGCCGTTCCTGAGTGGGACACTAACTAACTAGGGAGAATAGTTCAGACCCTGACTGGGACCAGTTCTGTGCCCTTTTCCTTGAGTTCAAGTTACCAGAGTATGGTCCTGCATTTCCTACTTAGGCATATCTCCCACTGGAGTCAATAGGCCCAATTCTGCTCTCATATTGATGTAAATCAGCAGTAACTCCATTGAAGTCAATGTGTAAGTGAGAGCTGAATCAGGCCCATGGTTTAATCATGTGTAGGGCTTGATGCTGAAAGGGGGCGAGAGCCATTCTCAGTGCTGGATAGACACGGTCCTTGTGCACTGGGAATGCCGGGGCTGAGAATGTGGCTTCCTGTGGCCAGTTGTCTTGGGAGGAAGGGCCCATGCAGCACTAGGCACCATCTAGCCGTTACAATTTAAAGGGGTTTGACTCTGACTCTCCCAGTGACTGACTGCAGCTTGAGATGCTGCCTGGGGTTCTTCCTGAGATGCAGCGTCTGCAGGCAGGAGCATGTTTGCA